TATATATATATATATATATGTACATTTCTTGTGGATAACTTCTTACTAGTTTTTTGCCATTGTGTGACCTATGTTAAAGTAAGATATACATTAAATTTTATGCAAATAAACGTACGAAAAGAAATATTTGTTAACAACTTTAAATGTGTATTGTATCATTGATATTATTTATGAACAACACATATTTTAAGTGCTACTTGTTGTTGTTACTATTACTACTACAAATTTTTTTACCTCAGTTTGTCACCTTAGGATGGCTTTTTTTGTCTTATTTCAATAATAAATTTTGAACAAAATTGTGAAAGTCACGATTGGGAATTCTCTTTATTCTTCGTTGTTGATTCCATCACTAAATGTTCAAAAGTTGACCACTTTTTCCTTTCGATACGGTAGGACGAATTGACAATGATTTTATTTATTCCATTTTTGTTTTCAGTTACATATTTTGCATTCACTCTACACTATATCATGTTATTCAGAAACGATATATTCTGAAAATCGATTGGATAAATTAAGTTTAAAGTGTAACCGAGCAAATATTATGCAATGTTTCGGAAAAACAGAGTGATAAGGGAACATATGATATTGGAAATGGGTAAGTATTTTAATCACCATCGGATAAAGCGTTTTTTATTTATTCCGGGAAGCTAATCCTTCTACCATTGCAGCATACTGAATGACGAGTAAGTTCTGGTGATTCAGCAAAGTTTTGGTTAACAGTTAAAGCTCGGAACACTCTACCTGAGAGAATGATGAATGTTACTTCAATTATCGATATTTCCACCATCATCTTTTTCCATGGCATTTCTATCACTTAACTTTGGTATTATTTGGTGAAAACGACTACGATTTGTCGTTGCGCAAATGTTTCGCAATTCATGCGATAAGTCCTTTCTATTACCGTGTCTCATTAATGAATGGAGAGTTTGATAAAGCTATTTGTTGATTTATTGACATGTCATCATGTGTCATTCGATAATATAAATTCTGATACGGTCATATGCGGGAAAGAATACCACAATAATGAAATTTTCATGACATTGAAACAAACTGTCACTTTTATTCTTCTTCCTCACCTTCCTCAATAAGACAATTCGAATTCTAAATTGCACATCTCATTTCTTTTAACACCTTTAAATACAATCTAAGGTTAGAGCAACAGACAGCATATTGCCTTTGATTATTGTCAATCAAAGTACTACTACTACTACAACACGCATACTGCATGTCACATGTGCACACACACACACACACACACACACACACACACACACACACACACACACACACAACTCGGATGGCTGCAAATTGGAAAGAGGAAGAACCGGATATTCTCTTCCTTCAATATTTTCCATTTTTTTCACCGTTTTCAACACTCTTCTACCCTCAAACCGCATTGATATTTCTGTGTGGGTACATCGCATATACATATGTGTGTGTAAATTGAACATATTTTGTTCTAACCGTAACCCAAGTCACTCTTTATTTCCATTCCTTATCAGCATGACAGCTAGTTTTATCAATTAATATTTCGGCAATATTTCATATATGAAATAGATTAGAACGTGGATAATGTGGAATAGAAAGGGAGAGAGAGAAGGAAAAAAAGAGAAAGAGAAGAGAGAGACACTGTCACAAATATCAACCTTGTGTCGTCATTATCAGCAATGGTATACGCGGAACTGTCACATACACACATACTTGTGCCATTTCATAACAATAACATTATCATCGTCATCTTCATCCTGTCATTCATTATCGTCATTTATCACCATTATGATTGTGATACTGAAGAGAGAGAAAGAAGAGGTAAGTACTTCTGGAAAAGAGTGTCTTCTCATCCGTCCCGACACGAAGCATTCTTCCATCTTTGGCAAAAAAGAACAATTTCTCATCCCATTTGCATCGGTGGCCATTGAAATAAACAAGTATTGGACTTCTTACAAAAGCATGTGTGTGTGTGATCTTTTCCCAAGTAAAACTTTCATTCGTTAGGTCAAGTTCATATTAAAATCAATAGTGATGCGACGACGAAACCCTTTGTAACCACACTTGATCCCGCTTTCTTCCCCGCCCTTTGTTCTCTTGGCATCCCGTCTTCCTTCCAATTAATTATTCCTTTTGGTATGCTTATGAGAGCAAGTTGTTGTACCACATATTTGCAGTAGCAAAACCAACTGAGAGGAAAAGGAAGCAAAATGGTCGCAAAGTTGACGATATCGATTTTTGTTTATTTAAATGAACAAAAGGGTTGGCTCGAAATACTTTCAAACAAAAATCCAAAACCTAAATTAATTTTCTTTTTTTCTATTCCGAAAGATGCCCTCAGAGATTTGTGCAGGCGGGATAGGAGAGGAGAGTATTATTGAGCACTTGCTTGGTGCTTCAAGTCTTAATTTTAAGGAATTCTCTTCTTTTTTGGTTAACATAGTGAGAAAGATCTGTTAATGTGAGAGGATGACGCGCAGGCGGCATTGGTTGTTGGTATGTTTTACTGTGGCGTGGAAAGGGGCGTTGTTGTTTTCTTGGAGCTGTCGCGGAGGAGCGAGGGCGAGAGCGAGGGCGAGAGCGAGAGCGAGAGCGAGAGCGAGGGAAGAGTGTGTGCTGGCGGAGAGGTTCGTTGTAAAGTTTTCCGTTTTGCAAAACAGGGATGAAATAGCTATGTAATTTATGAATTCATCTTCGGTGTAATGTGAAAGTGTCCGTTTTCTCGCCTTCTCCCACCCCGCTTCCTTTAACCAAACTATCGTTGGCTTTGTTAGCATCGGGGCGAGAGGCTTTTTTCATATGTGTCAGTGTTTCATTTCACTCTGAAATCGCTTTCACAATACATCAATTTAGTGCTTTCAGGAAAGTTTTCTCTCCATTCACATCAATTTCTTATTCTCCCAAAGGTCACCCGACATTTTGTAAGAAGAAATGTACGCGGCACTGTGAGATTTTCGTCTTTTTTGTTAATTAACGGAAACTGAAATAAATGAAATACTGGAAAGAGAGAGAATATGTGTTCTGAGAACTGGGAATATTATGGATTAGTGGGGGAGGTTTTCCGTACGTTAGCTCCCTATTTATGTAACCGGAAATTGTTGAATGTTGATTGGGACTTTAAGGGAAGGTGCTAGTAGAGGGCGGGGGCAGGTGCAGAAATGAAGGAAAGGTGGAAGGAGAGGAAGAGGAGGGTCGTTGGAGTGAAATGAAGGCGAAATGCTTCACGGAATTGAATGAATGCGAACGTTCACATGGAGCGGAAGTGATCTTTCGTTTTATCACACTATTTCTGAAGGAACTGCGATGATTCATTGCTGTTTATCAGAAGTATCTAGAATGAATCTTAATCGTAGGTAAACTGGCTCAATAAGCTTTTTTTCTCATAGAACAGCAATACTTTCATTGGTTAGCAATGATATTAAAGGCTTCTGAATAGATGAAGAAATGATTATTACGCGAATAGGTTTTTGCAAGGATGGAATGGAGATGGCTTTATAAACACTTCTGAGGAAAGGAGAGAGAGAGAGAGAGAGTATCGTATAATAATAGCTAATCATTTCAGAGGGCCTATAGTTGCTACATCCATTTATGGACTTTCCTCTTCCTCAGAGAGAGCCTACAATTGCTACATCTACTTATGTCTTTCTTCGATCTTCTGTTGCTGTTCTATGACTCTGATGAAATGTTTTCGTAACTGTCACTGTTCTTCTTTATAGGCTCTATTTTTCCTTCTTCCCGGTTTAGGCCTCATTCTCTCTTTTCACCCATTTCATTGCTTCTCACTTCTACCCATCTGCTGCGGGTCATATGTGACCGATGGTGGTCGATGCTGATGACTGGATCGATGTGTTGCGTGGACACATTACGGACTGATGGACAATGGTATTGGATGAATAGAGATTGTGTATTATGTGTAGCTCGTATTGACTGGTTGCTTTACGAGAAATCTTTTTCTTCCTTATTCCCTCATCATTTAATAAATTCTAGGTTAGAACATATACTCATGTGTACTCTTGTAAACTCATTTGTAAATAGTATGTTATGCATTTATCGCCATTACTTCCTATTGGCATATGCAAGCAATTAGCACATGAAATTAATTTTTTACTATTATTTCCATAAATTGTCTCAACGATTGCGGAGCAAAGCGGAAAATACAAGCCAGATATGAAGGGCTTTCTGCCTTTAAGCAAACTTACTCATTATGAGGATTCTTTTAGGTATCAGAGAATTATTGTGTTTGTTTTGTGCTCCTTATAACTTATTTAGATGTAGAAATCGATGAAGTGAGATTACTGATATGAATTTGACGGCAACATGTAGTTATTTTGTTAGTAACAGGCTCTTACTAACATAGTACTAGCAACATCTTGAATCAGTGTTGTTTGTAAAATCAAGCAGCATAAGGAGGTGCAGAACAAATTACTAGTATAATTCTGTTTGTTGACTTTTATTAAACTTTTATTCCTGTAATCTCTCATTAATGGTACTTAATTTGTATTGAAAATTTTTTTCAGATAAACTCTGTGATATTTTGGGAGAAGCGGTTGTTTGGGGAGACCAGTACTTTCTGGTTGGCGATGTGTACTTCTGTAAAAAGGAATGATTATCATCGATTAGTACGAGAGATCCGCTCGGTGATCCCTAATTATACTATAGCAAACAACCGTTCTCAATAATAATGTGTTCGAAGCCAACAACGGCTGGAAGGATAGCGCAGTGGCTTTGGTGGTTCGCTCTGATATTCCTACTTCTCAGGGCTACGAAAGTATAACTTTTTCATTTTCTTTTCTTGAATTTTTGTTTTAGGAAAACAATCTAGAATACCAAGATCGGAAAAATAATATGATAATTTAGAATGATAAACAGTCACCGTTAGGGAATTTGTAAATTATGTACGATAGAACTATTTAAATATATAATTTTTGCAGCAATCTAGTGTACAAATAGACTTGGCAAATAATGATAAAAGTGATGATGTAGGTGATAAAAATGTGTGGTATTCGGAGAATATTAGTGCGACACCTCTTAAACCGCGACCGAAAACACCTAACGAATTAAGTGAGTTTTTATTACATTTTATGTTGATGCTGTGATATGTCAAAAAATTAGATTATGTATCGCTGTTTCGTCAGGAAAATTTAATGGAAACATAGCAGCAAGTAGTATTGTCAAAAGAAATGTTTCAGAGATACCAGAATGTGAAGACTCAATCAACGATTGTGCATATGGTGGTAAATGCGTTGCTGACCCAAATGGTTACAAATCTTGCCTTTGTCCAGCAAGTTGTCCAGCTTGTAAGTTCTTTTTAACTTTTAGAAGTTTCGCAATTTGGAATACACTGACATGACTGCTTAGTTCTGTCTACTCTAATTTCTACCAAATGTTTTGTTAATCGAATATGGGAATGACTAATATAAGAATTAGAAATAGTTAGTGATATTTTATATGTATGTGCTGTATTTCTAAAATAGATATTGGTTAAATTTACGTATATTGCAGCAATTCCGGTGTCATGCCGTGCAGGTAGGCAAGATGATTACTGCATGTCAATGAGTGATGATTATAGGGATAGGTATCTATTGCCAGAACCTGCGTGTCATATGGTTTGTTCCATTTTTATTTTGTATATTTCTGTAATTATTGTTCTTTCAAATTTTTGAAATTTAATTTGACTTGTTTGAGATTCTAGTATGATACCTGCTATAAAAAAATACCTTTTTAGATATATGACTAGAAGAAAATCTATTTCATAAGCAGTTCAAGTTATCATATATATGTGCTATATTTCTAAAATAGATATTGGTTAAATTTACTTGTGTTGCAAATAAACTGTTCTGAATAGCAAATACAACCTTTCTTGAAAATTTAAATCGTAATTTGAGAGATGGGGAATTCTTTCAAAAAGTATGAAAAAGAAATATTCAGTCGCAATTTTCATCTCCTGGAAAAATTATGCAGCATTTCTCATAGTCTTTGGGATGGAGATTTTCTTTCACCAATCCAAGAAATATTTTTTAGCTCAGTGTTCTGAAATTTTAAGATTGAAAAGACCTAATTTTAACTATTTGAAAACAAAATATACTGTCCAATTTACTATTCTTCCAAGATATTGAATTTATTGGTTGATGAATTGATTAGAAGATTGAGTTTACATTCAAGAAGAGCAAGTTTGAAACCTGAAATAATTTTGTAAAAATTGTATTTGTCATTTGGTTTCTTTTGTTATTATTATTATTTTACACTGAATTCGCTGTATTTATTTGATATAACTAATAAGTAGTTTAGTTATCTTTTGTCGAAAAGCATATTCGATATTTCTTAATCGCCATCGGAGATTCTCAGGCTTTCATTCTGATTATTACTTGATCAATGGTCTTTAAACATTCGAGTGTCTTCCATAGTATAATGAATTATGTTTTCAAATTTTAAAGGTGCCAACTGCATGTGTTTATACTTAAAGCATTATTAATTAATTACAAGGAAATTTCTGGTAACTAAAATGTTTTCTATTTTTATGGTATTGCCAAAGTCATTTTTTTCAATACTGTTCTTAAATAGTATTGGAATCCAATTTGAACCCGAGAATCGGCAAAATCAACTGTTTACATTTTGTTCAGCATTCATCGAAAAAGGAATGGACAAGCTATATGTATAAGTGAATATAGCGATTTGGACATTTTCACATTTTGACATCTAGGTTGTCCGTCGATACATTTCATAGGAAACCTAAGAAATATGTTGAAATGAAGTTAAAGGAAAATTCTTTTAACTCATCCATTGTATACAGGTTTTTTACCGATAATATTTGTCCGTCTTATATCCAGTCTATTAACGGGCAATTTTTCGGAATTGGTAATGAATTTTTTTCGGAAATTGATGTTTATGTTGATTGTTTTAGGGAAGTTGGTCTTATTACATTGCTATTCTTCAATCTGTTATGTTGCAGGGGATTTGTGTTTGTCCTCCAATGTTTGATCCTTGGAGACTGGAAGGAGCTATTGAACTACTTCCTTTCAAATGCGATCGAAGTATATTTTTATTTCTTTAAGAGTTGATAAATTTAAATTGGTCTAGAGTATATTTTTTTAATGAAGTTACACACAGCTACCAAAAATGAAGATCTCGTGATATAGTAGAATTAGTGACAATGAAAAATAGGATATGGCTTATAGATTTTTCATATTTCTATATCACACTTAAATTATTTGTGATTAGTTGCATATAAATTTCGGGAAAAAAGTAGTTGCAGGAGAACTAATGGTACAGGGACGAGTACTTCCATCAGATTCTGTTTACCAGGGTACAGATGCTAGTTTATTTTGTTGCATTAACATGGATCCAAGATCATTTATTGATGACGATGGGGTTTGTTCTCAATGTTTTTTTTCCATTGTTAGGCTTGAAGATGTAGCAAAATCTACCGTAGTTTCATTTAAAGCTTTAACATTGTCACCGTAGTGTAAGCAGCAAATTGCTAATAGACTGCAAAAATTTCCGGGATTGTTGGGGTGTGGTTAATAACGGAATAATGGATTGATTCTTGGAATTATCTGGAATTTAGTCTTCTGTAGTGATTCTCTGAACTGCTTCCATATATCAATGAAATGGATATTAGGAGTAGATGAATAATATTACTTGGGGAATGTGATTTCGAAAATTTTGTGAAAACTGTTGATTAACTTGACGATCCTTGATTTTATTGTCATCAAATGAGAGAAAATAGCGGAAAAATTGGATTTTTTAGGTGGACTTTATACAAAATTCCTCAATTATACGTGAGCCAACCAATACACCGTATGATGACGTTTTCACCGACGGCATTGAGCCACCACGTTGTTGGTCACTAGAAATTAAGAATGCACAGTATAGTGATAGTGGAACATATCTTTGTCACGTGAAAACAACGGGTAAACATGAAATCAACACTAATCATACGATCAATTTCTTCGTTAAAGGTATTTCATCACTCATTTATCCGTTTATTTTATGACTCTCTTTGGTGACACATTTGAGTTTATGCAATAATATTCAATTAAAAAATAAAATTAATATCCTGAAAATAGATTTTTTTAATAAAATCCGGGATTTGTTGTATTGATCTGTTTAATTAGATTAATTGGGTGCTCAAGCATAGCTTCAATGTCTTTTTTATAATTCTCCTCTCAATTTTACTTTTGATATCAGTATTAATTATTTCTTTTCATAAGAAAATGTCATCAATGAATAAGAGAAGATTGCAGCAAGCAGGATTTTAGAATCTTATTTTAACAAGGAATACTTTTCTTCTTTAAATATTAGTGTGGT